TTCTGTTGGGTTTTCAGAGAGCAGGTTTAGGATTGTTGAGGGTCGATTATGGAGTAACAACAGAACTCATTTTTAACGTCTGTAGCTCCACAACACCCAGAAGCTCCAACACACCAGTGAGCTGTCCTCCTTCTCCCAGTGACCCGGTTTGTTCTTGTTCTCTGGTACCAGGAGCCAAGTTCCCCATCAAGTGGACTGCTCCAGAGGCCATCAACTTCGGAACCTTCAGCATCAAGTCAGATGTCTGGTCCTTTGGGATCCTGCTGACGGAGATGGTGACCTACGGCCGGATCCCGTATCCAGGTAGGACCGCCGTGGTGCCACGCTGAGCAGGTGGAGGTTCTGCACGTCCAGTAAACCCGCCTCTCGTTCTGTCCAACAGGCATGACCAACCCGGATGTGATCCGCTGTCTGGACCGGTTCTACCGGATGCCGTGTCCGGACGGCTGCCCCCCGGAGCTCTACGACGTCATGATGATGTGCTGGAAGCAGAAACCCGATGACCGGCCCACCTTCGACTTCCTGCAGAACGTTCTGAACGACTTCTTCATCGCCACTGAAGGACAGTACGAGATGCAGCCCTGACAGCACAACCTGGACCCAGAACCTGAACCCAGAACCTTCAGAAAACCTGGACACAGAACCTGGATAGACATCTGATCATAAAACCTGAAGACAAAACCTTATCACAAAACCTGAACAGAACCTAAACATAGAACTTGAAGACAGAAACTGATCACAGAACCCGATGACCGGCCCGCCTTCGAGTTCCTGCACAATGTTCTAAACGACTTCTGAGGGACACCAAGGGACAGTATGAGATGCGCAGAACCTGGACAGAACCTGGACAGAACCTGAGCAGGCGTCTGGACCTCTCTGACTGATGACGGGTTCTTTCAAACCATCCACCTGTTTCAGTTTCATCTCACTGACGTTCCTTCAGCTGCTCCTGAGGGAACCACAGACCATGAGGACCGTTACAACCACGAACAGAACGTTCAGGACGTAAGCCAGCGTTTGGACCTGAGGAGGAGCTCCAGGTGGGTTTAAATGGTACCAAGACGAGCAGCCTGAGACTTAAAGCACAATTATTTGCACTTTTTATATTTCAGCTGATCAGTAAAAGCAGCTTTTAAGAAAACGTTTCTGCATTTATGTGTTTTATAAATAAAAAGATCCACATTATTTACAGCCTGGCTTCATTCTCTGAATCATAAAACAGACTTTCAGCATTTACACTTAAAATAAAACAAGTAAAGAATTCAATAAAAATAGAATGAATTGAGTGAACAGCAAAGTAGTGAAATCACAGCACTGTTGGTTTAAATTAGATTTATATGAACCAGTTAATAAAAACCAGAGGAGAAAATAAATGTCTTCAGATTTACTTGTAAAAACTCCAGCAGAGAACGTCTGATCTGAACTCTGACTGCAGGTGAAGTTTGAAGTCGGTTCTGTGTTTAACGGGGACAGGTTGGGTTAGTGGTAGGACTATCAGCAGAACAAACGGACGCCTGTGAATGATTCCAATCGTGTTAAAATACAGAAAAATGCAGGAAATGCAACAGCAGCTGAGTTCCTGCAGTCTGATGCTGCAAAGTTTATGTGAGCGACCGGAGGAAGAGCCGGACAGCGAAGGGTTCACACTGCTGCCATTTCCTGAACAGAGCAGGACAAAGATCTGAGATGCTCAGATAGCAGATAAAGAGGGACAGAGGACGGACTCAGTCTTACTGCCAGCAAACTGCTGTTTGTCGTGTGTTCTGTTAGTGTTGGTAAAGAAACTCTGACTTTCTGTTTCTTAAAGGTTCCACGTTGTTCCTCTTTTCAGCAAATTAAGCAAAGTGTCGCAGAATGAGTCTGTTTCAGTCAGACATGCGTCGTTCCTCCACAATCCTGGTTTTATTCTAAACGGTGTCAGTGTCTATAGTTTAAATGAGCTGCTGGCCCCGCCCCCTGTCACTAACCACGCCCCCCGCAAGTGGCCCCGCCCCTTCCGGAAGAAGACTGAATTCTCAGCTCATCCTGTGTTTGCAGTCAGACGATGTTATAAAATCAGGTTTAAATGAAGTGATGCTGGTTAACGTGTCGTCTGGAGGAGGTCCACTGTTTCCTCCTGGTTCTGCTGCCTGACACCAGAACCATCTGGAGATGAGTTCAGCTGACATTAAATGATGTGAGCACAGAGAGCAGGGGTCGGCACTACGAAGCCAGATCAACAAACCTTAAATATCTTTCAGAGATCCGGCTTGACTAACCCTAGCAACCGGTCCTACGACAGTGGTGATCAGCTCGGTAAGTCAACCCAGGTTGTCTGATCTGAGCGCGTGCACATAAAATGGGCGGAGTTATCGGCCTCTGACCAATCAGGACTACGGACCAGTCTGGCTGCAGAGCGGCTCACTTTACCGCCGAGGAGCAGAACATCATCTGGACCAGATATGAAGAACATAAAACCATGATAGGAGCAGAAAGAGAGCAGAGCAGGAAGGAATGGTGGCAGGAAGCTGCTGCCTGTGTGGACGATCAGCTCATTAGTTTATAATATAATATCATATGATCACTGATTTGGTGATTGTAAATTGTCCGTAGGTGTGAATGTGAGTGTGCTTGGTTGTCTGTCTCTAAGTGTAGCCCTGTGATAGACTGGTTACCTGTCCAGGTGAACCTGCCTTCACCCTGAGTCAGCTGGGATAGACTCCGCCCATTCATCTTCAGAAGTGTCTCCATGTCAGCTGTTGATGATCAGCAGCTGCTTTAAATGAATACAAACAGTAATAAATATGTTGATGTTCTCCTTCATGTCGGTAAAGACATGAAGTTACACGGTTTTCTCCAGCAGGTGGCGGTGTGCAATCCTAATCATTTAACTGCTTCATTTATGTTTTATGTCTCATTTTACAGTTTAAATTCTGCATATGTTGTTGAACAGCTTAATTTTTGCCTTATGTAATGTTTTTTAACTTCATTTCCTATTTATACATTGTTTATAGCCTAATTTATGCATTATAGATATTTTAACTGCTTCTTTCCTGTTTTATGTCGCCATTCATGGCCTAATTTTGCAATATGAGTCGTTTCATAGCCTATTTTCGTCATTAGACATTCTTTCATAGCTTAATGTCGGAATTCTAGTTCTTGTAATGTCACCGCTGTGTCAATAAAGTTGTCAGACAGAAGTAGTTGCTGCCGGAGCTCAGTGTCGCTCGCTCAGACAGAACTAGTCGCTGAGCGGAAGCATCGTCAGTCTGATGTGGACTTCCTGGTCGGAGGATCTTTAAACCAGAACCAGCTCACCCTGTTAGTCGCATTTAACCCGGTCGTCGGCGCATCGGTCCCGTTCTAACGTGGTTCGAACCGCGTCGTTCCGAACAGAACACAGTCAGCGAACGTCAGAACCGACTATGTCCGCCTCGGCAGGATGCTCCCCGTCGGGCCCAAACCCGGGCCTTGGCCCCGGTATGTCCATGTTCCGTTGGCTGGAGGTTCTGGAGAAGGAGTTCGACAAGGCCTTCGTGGACGTGGACCTGCTGCTGGGTGAGATCGACCCGGACCAGGTGGACATCACGTACGAAGGCCGCCAGAAGATGACGAGCCTGAGCTCCTGCTT